GCAGGATCTGCCTTCACTGGACAAACAGCAGTCTTCTACATTGCAGCCTCGAACGCCACGATGTGGACCGAACATTGGCCACAAGGGCCCACGGCGAATCCGGGGGACTTGGGTGGGAACTCGCCCGCGTGACATTTCAGATGCGCCGGCTGCGTGAGCTGCTCTCTCACAAAGGAAAATGGGGTTTCCTGAATGGCAGAACTAAGTGACACTTGGAAGCCGCATGGCCATTTCAACGCGCAGCGCCTCGTCCGCCGCTTGGCCAAGTGCGGTGCAGGACCTCGACGCGGGAAGTAACCTCTTCTGATGTTTGAGAACCACGGGGCAAGTGTGATCTCTAACTCTCTGTGTCGTCATGCTTTTGATGGCGGGCTGGGGGATGCCCCGTGCGACCTGCAAAGCGAGTTGGTGGAGGGATTCGATCACATTCAGACGGCTGGGAAGTCTCGGAGGAGGCGCACTACAACGCGATGCAGTTTGAACATTTATCAGCGGCGCGTACCGACTTGATCGGCAGTATGTGTCAGTTGCGGCGGGCTCCTGAGCGCTGGGCGACACCTACCTGGTCGCTCCCCCCGGAGCTCTGGCTTCTGCTCTTGGATGACGAACGATGGGGGCAGCTTTACGGCGGTTGCCTCGGGGCGGACCTTCGGCCTTCTTCGGCGACGGCTTTCCTCGAGTATCTCATGGACTTGCTCCGCTTGTTTCCGCGGGGCCGCCGCCGCGCCGCCAATCGGTAACGCTAACGTTTCTTCGCGCTGCGGTTTGCATGGGCACGGTGGAGAGACTGGGCCTGCAAGCCAACGGTGGATTCATGTGTTCTGCCCTCTGGGAAAGGTGCTGACATTGCACTTGCGGGCCAAGAGTCGCGGGCCCCGCGAGGCACTGCCGCGCGCGTGTCACGGGCTTGCCAAACAACAAAAAGACGCCGGATGGAACGTGCCACGGTAACGCAGCGCTGTATTGCTTGGAGGTTACAGGAGCAGGGTTCTCTCGCGTGATAGTATACGAGGACGCCGCTAATGCTTTTGCGAGCGTGGCGCGGCACGGATGTCTCCGGGCGAAACGCCCGGCCCGCTGGGTGCGACGACGAGGGGTTATTCAGAAGGAAAGCGGATGGATGAGCAGGAGTTGGAGGAGGAGGAGGAGGAGGAGAAGAGGAGGAGGAGGAGGACGAGGACAACGACGAGGAGGAGGAGGAAGAGGAGGAGGAAAAGGAGGAGCAGGAGACCCCCCTTGAGCCAGTCTCCCCCTCGTGTCGCACCCCCCCTTCAGGAGCCCAGAGAAGCTGGTCGAGGAACCTGCCGGCGACGTGCGCCTGCGGATGACCCAGGACGGCCTCGTGGACGGGGTGCTGATGTGGTGGCGACTCGACATGAACCCCAGGCTCGAGGAGGAACGCATGAAGACCAGGGGAGTTGCTGCCGCTCGTCCTGGAGACCCCTCGCCGCCACGATTGGATTCAGTTCGAAATCGTGATCAGAATGCACAACTGGAGAGGTCTCCAGAAAGCGAGGAAGAAGAGCCCCGACCCCCTCTCGTTATGAAGAGAACCTAGTGTTAAGTCGGGCGTGTCCCCCTACAGGGGGATTTTCGACGGAAAACAAAAAATACCCCAAAAATGCCCCCAAAAGGTCAACAAATAGTCCAAAAATAGTCCCTGGACTATTTTGTTGACTATGTTTGGGCCATGTTTGGGGTATTTTTCTACTTGTCGTCGAAAATCCCCCTGTACGTATGGGGGGACAGGCCCGACGCTTGTATAGGAGGAGTTTGTATTGAGGAGGAGACCTCCTCAATATGAGGAAAACCTCCTCCTCCTCCTCCTCCTCCTCCTCCTAACTATTTGTCGTGAAAACCTCTTCCTCTCGTCCTAACCTGTTTTCTATTTGACTATGTTTGGGCCCTGTATAGGGGGACAGGCCCGACTCAAACCTAGTGGCGGCTCTTGGCCGCTCTGCGGCCTCCCTGGGGGGACCCTCGCGGGGCCCCCGGGGGGCCGCCCACAAAAAGGATCTCGGGATCCTGAGCTGCTCCCATCAGCCACGCGCAGAGGGGGGGGGGGGAGGACCCAGACCCCCTCGAGTAATGAAAAAATCACGACGGGAGGTTTTCCCTCGTTTTCGGCCTCCGGGGGGCCTCACCGGGCCTCGGGAGTGTCAAAAAACGACTCAGGATGCAAAGCTGGTCATGGGGAAAGGATCCAGACCTCTGGGGGTCGACGTATTGAAAAATCATTACGTCGGGGGTCTGGGGAGGAGGAGGGAGGTTTTTTTAAATTTTCGGCCTCTGGCGGCCCTCGCCGGGCCCCGGGACTGCCAGAAAACGACGCAGGATGAAAAACCGGTCTTGGGGAGTGGGTCGAGACTTCCGGGGACCCCGTGCTGAAGAAATCACGACATCGGATCTATGGGGGGTGAGGGGAGGGGGTGTGGCTTCTTAGAAGCACCCCTGCTGTATTAGAAGGCGCGGAGGCACCTCATCTTAAGGTAGGCCGGCGCTTCTAAGAAGCAGCCTCCTTGCTAAGAAGCCCTCCCCCCTCCCCTCACCCCCTTGTGCGCGCCGCCAATTCCAGGAAGGGGTGGAGACCTCTGGGAGTGTAGACGTGTGGCCAAAAAACACGACGTCGGAGGTCTGGGAGAATCGGCATCGACCCAGGTGTTTGGCAGCGGGCGAAGAACGGTATAACACAAACTTTTCCGCCGTCGGGGACGCTTGCCCCTTGGCGGCTGGAAAGTTTATAGCCCTACGGTGCCACCGTCAGGGTATAAACTTTCCAGCCGCCCTGGGACAGGCGCCCCCGACAGCGAAAAAGTTTATTATATACCGTTCTTCGCCCGTTAAGTTTGGTGAGCCTCCGAAAGTCTATGCTCGTGCCGCTCTTTGTCCCTCCACCCGTCTCCGCCTTGCTCGGCCTCAACGTTGCTTCATTGCCTGCTGGGCCCTGGTGTCTCCCACTGGGCCTTCGGTGTTCGGCGACACGTTCGTCACGACTGCTTCTTCTCACGGAGTCCCAGCATTTCCATCGACTCTCGGTGGCTCCACTTTCCTTTCTCTCGCATGACCTCGGCTGGTTGGGCGTTTGCGCCTGCACAAATGACGCTGCCCCCCCGCCCAGCGGCAGCATCGCGATCTCGACGTCCCCGCTCGAGGAGCTGGCGCTCGGGGAGCCGGTGCCGCGCCGCTCCCACTGGCAGCAGGGGGCCTGCGTCTTCCGCGCGCCGCCGGCGCGGCGGCGCTTCCGCGGCGGCGAGCCGGTGCCGCTGCGCGTGACGGTGAGGGGCTGGGACGTGCACTTCGCCCTGCAGTCGGAGGGCGAGGTTGACGGGCCTGTTCTCCAGCACCACCACCATACGTTGCAGGGGGGAAGGCGGAGGAGGAGGAGGATAGGAGGAGGAGGAGGAGGATGAGGAGGAGATGAGAGAGGAGGAGGAGGAGGAGGGGGCGGGAGGAGGAGGAGGAGGAGGAGGAGGAGGAGGAAGAGGAGGAGGTAGGGAGGCGGGGAGGAGGAGGAGGAGGACCCCTTCCCCCTCCAACTTCTGGTGGCGGTGGTGGAAGGGCAGGCCCGCCGGAGGCGGAGCGGCCGCGGCCGCCGCGGCAGGACGCGGCGGAGGGCGGCGGCAGCCAGAGACACCCGCAGCGGCCCTGCCGTGCCGGGCCCAGGATCGGCGCGCTCGGGCGCCCTCGTGGCCCGGCGAGGAGGGCAGGCGCGCCCGTCCTGGGCCCGGGGGCAGCCGCCGGGTGCTCTCGGCATGGCGCCCTCCGCGGAGGACCCCTTCGCCTTCCCCGCCCTGCAGAGGCCCGTGGGCGCGGGGCAGATGCCTGCCAGGATATCCGCGGCCTCGCGGGCCGATCTCCCGCGGGCCGCGACCCCGCGGGTGCGGGGCGTGTTTTCGCGCATGCCCCGCGCGCGACGTGTCCGCGCGACCGCGTATCCGCGGGACCGCGCCCCGGAGTCGGGACCGCGAGGGGGCGGATGTGAATGTGTCCCCAGACCCCAGACGGCATGATTTTTTCACGACCAGTTTTTCGTCCCGAGTCGTGTTTTGACGGTCCCAAGGCCCGATAAGGGCCCTCAGAGGCCGAAGATAGCGAGAAACCTCCCGTCGTGATTTTCTCATGGCTCGAGGAGGTCTGGGTCCGCCGCTCGTGGAGAGGCACCTGCTGCTCCGCCTCGCGGACGAGCCGCGTTTGGCCCGGCTGCGCGAGGAGGTCCGCGACGCCGTCCGCGCGGGCGGCGGCGCGACGGCGACCGTGCTGTGCCTCAGCGACGGCCTCGCGGGCGCGCTGGCGGCGGTCTCGGCCGGCACTGGCGCGCGGGTGGTCGTCGAGGAACAAATCTTATGTCGGGCGTGTCCCCCTACAGGGGGATTTTAGACAAAGATCAAACATACCCCCAAAATGCACCAAAAAGGTATAGAAATATTCAAAAAATCGTCCCCAGACTATTTTTGGAGCATTTTTTGATTATTTTTGGGGTATTTTTTATTTTTCGTCGAAAATCCCCCTGTAGGGGCACAGGCCCGACTTAATACAACTCCCGACGTGTTTTGGCTTCCCCCTGAGCCGCAAACCGAAGTTTTTTTTTCACGTGGCGTGGGTTCTCGACGGTTGTCCAGCCTCGGGACACGAGCCACGACGAACGGCATGAAACGTGACGACGAACGGCATTAAAAAAACATGCATTTCCGGAGCCCCGCGCGGATTCGGATGTCTTGGATCGGCGCCGGGCCCTCCCCCGCGGCGCCTGTGGCGCCGCCCTTGGCGCGCCCTGCGGGCCAGGGAGGGGGTCGGGCGGAGCCACTGCAGGACAGGGATCAATTTAAGTCGGGCGTGTCCCTCTATAGGAGGAATAGTTATTCAGAATTAGTCCACAAATATTCTGGGGACAATTTTTGTTGACTCTTTCTGGATATTTGTTGATTCTCTTTTATTTGTCGCCCAGAATTTTGCCAGAATCCCCCTGTAGGGGGACACGCCCGACCTGAGCATAAATCGCTCCAGGGGTTTCCCGAACGCTCTCCGAGCGCTCCGGAGCGCTCGGGCCAGCCGCGGCGCCCGAGGCACGCTCCAGAGCAGCCAGATCCCAGAGAGCCCCGACGCGTCCTAGTACGAGCTTTGCCCCAGACCTGGCCCCAGACATGCTCGCGTCGTGAAAAAAGTCGGGGCGGGAGGTTTGGGGCTCTCTTCGGCCCCGGGGGGCCCTCGCCGGGCCTCGGGGCCGTCCAGAAAACGACTCGGGACGAAAGACCGGTCCCGGGGAAAGGGTCGGGACTTCCAGGGACGCCGTCCTGGAAAAATCGGGGCGTCGCATGTCTGGGGCTTCCTCTTGGAGAGGTGCCCAGCGCCGATCCTCCCTCCTCCCTCCTCCCTCCTCCCTCCTCCCTCCTCCCTCCTCCTCCTCCTCCGCCTCTTCCTCGCCTCCTCCTCCTCCTCCTCCTCCTCCTCCTCCTCCTCCTCCTCCCCCTCCCCCTCCGCCTCCTCCTCCTCCTCCTCCGCCTCCTCCTCCTCCTTCTGCGCCGAGCTCCGAGCATGTGTGCTCCTGTGCAGCTGCTTGCTCTTCCGCCCAGGTCGTGCTCAGCTCCCTGCCGGCCGCCGCCGACCGGCTGCGCGCGGCGCTCGGGGGCGGCGCCGCCGTCGGGGTCTACGCGCGGGACGTCGGAGGAGGAAGAGGAGCGGAGGCCTAGAGGTTGACACCAACACCAATACCCAGACACGCTCGCGCCGTAAGAAAAACATCGGGGCGGGAGGTTTGGGGCTCTCTTCGGCCCCGGGGGGCCCTCGCCGGGCCTCGGGGCCGTCAACACAGCGACGCAGGACGAGAAACCGGTCCCGGGGAAAGGGATTCGGGGCTTGCCGGGGCGCCGTGCTGGAAAAATCGGGGCGTCGCACGTCTGGGCAATCGGCGGTGGGCCTCCACCGAGGGAGGAGGATCCCTCTCTCGGTGACGGTGGTAAGATTCTGTAAGAACGGTTTTTTGAAGGCAGATCTGCCTTCAAAAAATCGGGTCTACTCTGTAAGAACGGTTTTTTGGAGGCAGATCTGCCTTCAAAAAATGGTTTTTTGAAGGCAGATCTGCCTTCAAAAAATCGTTCTTACAGAGTAGACCATTTTTTGAAGGCAGATCTGCCTTCAAAAAACCGTTCTTACAGAGGATCCCGATCTCGGTGATGGTGGTCAGATTCTGGCCTCCAAGGTGGCCGAACTGGACCGCCAACGCCGGAATCTATGGTCATCTTCCCTCTGTGGAGGCAACCCTCTTTGTTGGCGTTGGTGCCCAGTTCCAGGCCTCCCCCGCGGCCTGAGGAGCAGCTGCTCCCAGACCCCCGACGTAATGATTGTTTCATTGCGTCGACCCCCAGAGGTCTGGACCCTTTCCCCATGACCGGCTTTGCATCCTGAGTCGTTTTTTGACGCTCCCGAGGCCCGGTAAGGGCCCTCAGAGGCCGAAAAGAGCGAAACACCTCCCGTCGTGATTTTTTCATGATTCGAGGAGGTCTGGGTTCCAGGCCTCCAGGAGGAGGAGGAGCGGGCGCGGCCTGGGCAGCGGCTGCTTCGAGGTCCGCTGTCTTCGGGCGCGGCCGGTGCTCGGCGGCTTCCCCGCCGCGGGGTGCTGTCCAGCGGCTGCGCCTATCGCCGAGGGCCGTCGAGGGATGCTGCAGGGTCGTCCCGGAGGGCCGCCAGAGACCCGAGATGGTCTCAGGGGAACCCAGACCTCCTCGAGTCATGAAAAAATCACGACGGGAGGTTTTTCACAATTTTCGGCCTCTGAGGGCCCTTACCGGGCCTCGGGACCGTCAAAAAACGACTCGGGATGAAAAACCGGTCCCGCGGAATAGGTCTGGACCTCTGGGAGTCACGTCATGAAAAAATCATGACGTCGGGGGTCTGGGAACGACATGATGGCGTCGTAAAATTAGCCTGGCGAAAGACCCAACCATACGCAGTTGTAAATACCGCAATTGTGAATACCATCTTCGCCCGCGCTCCCTATGTGGCCGCGGCTTCCCGCCGGAGCCCGACATGCTCAGGTATACGTTCGTGGCCGTCTTCGCGGGCGCCGACGACGACAAGGACGTCGTCCCTCTCACCGAGGAGCAGAAGCAGGAAAGGGCCTTGAGAGCCATGAGGGAGGAGGTGGCGCTGCACGTCGACAAGGCGGAGTACGACGCCCAGGCGCGGTTGTTGAAGCAGCACAAGTATGGGGCCACGATCTTCGTGAGGGATGTGCCGCAATGGCCCGGGGCCGCCATGCGAACCCTGCCACTGGCGCTTTCGGTGGAGCTCCCTATGGGGCCACGATCCTCGTGAGGGATGTGCCGAAATGGCCCGGGGCCGCCATGCGAACCCTGCCACTGGCGCCTTCGGTGGAGCTCCCTGATGGGGCCACGATCCTCGAGAGGGGTGTGCCGAAATGGCCCGAGGCCGCCATGCGAACCCTGCCACAGGGGGCCTTCGGTGGAGCTCCCTAGGGCCACGATCCTCGTGAGGGGTGTGCCGAAATGGCCCGAGGCCGCCATGCGAACCCTGCCACTGGCGCCTTCGGTGGAGCTCCCTATGGGGCCACGATCGTCGTGAGGGGTGTGCCGAAATGGCCCGAGGCCGCCATGCGAACCCTGCCACTGGGGCCTTCGGTGGAGCTCCCTATGGGGCCACGATCCTCGTGAGGGGTGTGCCGAAATGGCCCGAGGCCGCCATGCGAACGCAGCCACTGGGCCTTCGGTGGAGCTCCCTATGGGGCCACGATCCTCGTGAGGGGTGTGCCGAAATGGCCCGGGCCGCCATGCGAACCCTGCCACTGGGGACTTCGGTGGAGCTCCCTATGGGTCACGATCCTCGTGAGGGGTGCGCCGAAATGGCCCGAGGCCGCCATGCGAACCCTGCCACTGGAGCCTTTGGTGGAGCTCCCTATGTGGCCACGATCCTCGTGAGGGGTGCGCCGAAATGGCCCGAGGCCGCCATGCGAACCCTGCCACTGGGGCCTTCGGTGGAGCTCCCTATGGGGCCACGAAACGCTGCACTGGGTGGGTGAAACGCAGGGAGGAGAGGGGAGGAGGAGAGGAGGAGGAGGAGGAGAGGAGGAGGAGACGCGGGCCACCGTCTCTTCAAAACGAGGACCCAACACCACAGGATGGTTGGGAAAAATCAGGACGGGAGGTTTTTGGCGATCTTCGGCCCCAGGGGGCGCTCGCCGGGCCTCGGGGGCCGTGAAAAAAACGACTCGGGACGAGAAGCCGGTCCCGAGGGAAGGGTCGGGATTTGCAGGGGCGCCGTCCTGAAATTATCCTGGCGAAGGACCCAACCATATGCAGTTGTGAATACCGCAATTGTGAATGCCATCTTCGCCCGCGCTCCCTACGTGGCCACGGCTTCCCGCCGGAGCCCGACATGCTCAGGGGCACGTTCGTGGCCGTCTTCGCGGGCGCCGACGACGACAAGGACGGCATCCCTCTCACCGAGGAGCAGAAGCAGGAAAGGGCCTTGAGAGCCTTGAAGGAGGAGGTGGCGTTGCACGTCGACAAGGCGGAGTACGACGCCCAGGCGCGGTTGTTGAAACAGCACAACTATGGGGGCACGATCCTCGTGAGGGATGTGCCGCAATGGCCCGGGGCCGCCATGCGAACCCTGCCACTGGCGCCTTCGGTGGAGCTCCAGTGGGGCCACGGTCCTCGTGGGGGGGGTGCCGAAATGGCCCGAGGCCGCCATGCGAACCCTGCCGCTGGCGCCTTCGGTGGAGCTCCCTATGGGGCCACGATCCTCGTGAGGGGTGTGCCGAAATGGCCCGAGGCCGCCATGCGAACCCTGCCACTGGGGCCTTCGGTGGAGAGCTCCCTATGGGGCCACGGTCCTCGTGGGGCGGTGCGAAATGGCCCGAGGCCGCCATGCGAACCCTGCCACTGGCGCCTTCAGTGGAGCTCCTTATGGGGCCACGATCCTCGTGAGGGGTGTGCCGACATGACCCGAGGCCGCCATGCGAACCCTGCCAGTGGGGGCAGTCGGTGGAGCTCCCTATGGGGCCACGATCCTCGTGAGGGGTGTGCCGAAATGGCCCGAGGCCGCCATGCGAACCCTGCCACTGGCGCCTTCGGTGGAGCTCCCTATGGGGCCACGATCGTCGTGAGGGGTGTGCCGAAATGGCCCGAGGCCGCCATGCGAACCCTGCCACTGGCGCCTTCGGTGGAGCTCCCTATGGGGCCACGATCCTCGTGAGGGGTGTGCCGAAATGGCCCGAGGCCGCCATGCGAACCCTGCCACTGGCGCCTTCGGTGGAGCTCCCTTATGGGGCCACGATCCTCGTGAGGGGTGTGCCGAAATGGCCCGAGGCCGCCATGCGAACCCTGCCACTGGGGCCTTCGGTGGAGCTCCCTATGCGGCCACGATCCTCGTGAGGGGTGTGCCGACATGGCCCGAGGCCGCCATGCGAACCCTGCCGCTGGAGCCTTCGGTGGAGCTCCCTATGGGGCCACGATCCTCGAGAGGGGTGTGCCGAAATGGCCCGAGGCCGCCATGCGAACCCTGCCACTGGGGCCTTCGGTGGAGCTCCCTATGGGGTTACGAAACGCTGTGCTGGGTGGGTGAAACGCAAGGAGGAGGGGGAGGAGGAGAGGAGGAGGAGACGCGGGCCACCGTCTCTTCAAAACGAGGACTCAACACCACAGGATGGTTGGGAACAAAAATCGGGACGTCGCATGTCTGGGAACGAATGCCGGTCCTTTGCCTTGTTCCGTTCCACCCTCTTGGGCCTCCTCGGAGGCCACCGTCGCCAGCGGTGGATTCGCGTCGAGATGGTGGCTGCACGCGCACCCCCAGGAGAAGCCCCGGGAGCAGCGGAGTCGGCATCCCCTGGCATCGCGGGCGGCAAAGAGGGGGGTGATGACTGGGCGTATGATGTTCCAACCTACTTTAGCCTTGATCACCAGAATGAATTTAGAGCACCAAGAAAACACCCCAAAACTCTAGGGTTTTCACTTGTCGGGCCCTGGGAAACACTCTTTCGACACTGTCGACACTTTTCTGGGTGCTCGAAATGATTTCTGGGATGTGGTCCTTAAGTACGATGGGGGCAACGTCAGACGAGGGGGGATATCATGGCGGGGGCCATGATATCTCCCCGGAGTTCATGGCGCCTCTTTTTATTTCGAAGACGTCCCTGGCCCCACCGCTGGGCCGCGCACGTGCCGCCAATCACGATTTGCACCCCCCCCCTCCCCAGAACGTAATGATTTTTTCATTACGTCGACCCCCAGAGGTCTGGACACTTTCCCCGTGACCGGCTTTGCATCTTGAGTCGTTTTTTGACGCTCCCGCGAAGCCCGGTGAGGGCCCCCGGAGGCCGAAAATGAGGAAACACATCCCGTCATGATTTTTTCATAACTCGAGGGGGTCTGGGCCCCCCCCCCTCTTGGAATCCCCCCCCTCTTGGCCGCTCCCGATGACCTCCGCCGACGCGTTGTCGCTCGAGGTGCCGGCCCCTTCCCCGGGGCCAGCCAGCTGCGCCCTGCAGGCCCGTTCTGTTGTGGGTGGCCCCGGGGCCGGGCAGCGGGCCACCCCAGAGTTTCGGTCGGGCGTGCCCCTCCACAGGAGGGATGTCCAAACATAGTCCAAACCCAGACATGCTCGCGTCGTGAAAAAATCAGGACGGAGGTTTTTCGTCGTTTTCGGCCTCTGGAGGCCCCGCCGGGCCCCGGGACTGTCAAAAAACGACTCAGGACGAAAAACCGGTCCCAGGAAAAGGGTCGGGACTTCCAGGGACGCCGTCCTGAAAAAATCAGGACGTCGCATGTTTGGGAAGATACTCTGGGGACGATTTTTGAACTACTTTTGAGTACTTTGGGGATGTCTTTGGGGTATGTTTTCTCTTCTTTGTTTGGCATCTGGGGGATAGCTTCGGGGTATTATTATTATTATTATTTTTTGCGTCCCAAATCCGCTTGTCATTAGGGGGACATGCCCGACCGAACCCCAGAAGCTGAAGTCGCCGGGGTGGGAGAGCAGCTCGTCGGAGGCTCGGGCCCGGGAGCCCCCCCAGGACGGGGGCGGCCGGGGCCTGGTCGAGGCGGCCAGGGCGCTGCTGCAGGGCCGGGCGGCGCACGTGCTCGTGTGCGAGGCTCGGGCCGGACGAAAGGGGGGGATTGGGAAAGGGGGGGTTACGAAATTTGCTGCATGCAGCTGGTTTCGGCCCCACCGAGGGGCCCATCCCTCGATACATGGGCGCCTCCGGCGCCGGGAGGCGCCGGGAAAATCAGCTCTCAAACCCCCCTTTTGCTGGCTATTGGTCTCCTCACCGGCCAAATGGGACCCTTCACCGGCCAGATGGGACCCTTCACCGGCTGATCCGTTCACCGGCTGATTGGGTGTTTCACCGGCTACGTCTTTCAATTGAAAGTTGATTGTAGTGTTCGCGTGTACGCCACCAAGAACGAGTGTGGAGTGCTAAGGGTTGCCACAACCGCTTCTGAAATTCATTGTTTTTTGTTGTTTTCTGGAGGCCGGTGAAGAGACCAATTCTGGTCGTGTACCACCGTGGCATGCATGGTGGGAGGAGGAGGAGGAGGAGGAGGAGGAGGAGGAGGAGGAAGAGGATGCGTAGGAGCAGGAAAGAATAGGAAGAATAGGGAGGGGAGGTCGGTGGAATTCTCCCCAAGGTAAGGTATCATGCCAAAGGGTACCTCATGTAAGCATGCGATACATGTACATAACCATAGTTCAACAGGCACACTGGATGGGTAAACTTTGGCACATGTTTGTTTTGCCTTCTCTGTGATGGCATAGGATGTTGTTCCATGCCGCGCAGCTGCCTGCGGCAATTCCCGCCGTCGCGCCATTTCAACACCTGGGGTGGCGACTGTTCGATGGGGCGCCGTGACGGGCGAAATGTCGTGTCCCGAGGCTGGGGACACCCGTAACATGTGACGCATTCCTCCACATTGTGTTGGCGGAGGACATGAAAACGATGGTGATTGCGGTGGCGGTGGTGACGACGACGATAGCGATGGAGAGGAAAAGGGCAAGGAGGAAGGGGATCATTAGCATAACAAGATGATCAGGAGCAGGAGAAACTTCGAGGCGGCCGAAGTGTGATCGGCATGGTGATGACGATGATGATGATAGTGTATGATGACGATGACCATGACGACGATGTTGATGAATCATGTCCATGACGACGACGATGTCCATGACCAGGGATCGGTAGGATTCGCTAGGAATCCATAGGTTTCGGTAGGATTCGCTAGGAATCCATAGGGGTCGGTAGGATTCGCTGGGAATCCATAGGTTCCGGTAGGATTCGCCATGAATCCACAGGTTTCGGTCGGATTCGCTAGGAATCCATAGGTGTCGGTAGGATTCGCAAGGAATCCATAGGTTTCTGCACGTTTCGCTAGGAATCCATAGGTTTCGGTAGGATTCGCTAGGAATCCATAGGTTTCGGTAGGATTCGCTAGGAATCCATAGGTTTTGGTAGGATTCGCAAAGAATTCATAGGTTTCTGCATACTTCGCTCGGAATCCATAGGTTTCGGTAGGATTCGCTAGGAATCCATAGGTTTCGGTAGGAATCCATAGGTTTCGGTAGGATTCGCTAGGAATCCATAGGTTTCGCTAGGATTCGCTAGTAATCCACAAGTTCCGGTAAGACTCCTTGCCGGCGTGCACAGAGTTCTGCGTCCAACAAGCATGTGCGTACCGGCGAGGCGAGGTCAGACGGTGAAGCCGGGCAGCCGACCAGCCGGTCAGCCGGTCAGCCGGTGAAGCCGGGCAGCCGACCAGCCGGTCAGCCGGTGAAGGGTCCCATCCGGCCGGTGAAGATATTTTTCTCACTTTGCTGTCCCCCCCTTTCGCCCGGCCCGAGAGGCCGCCGACGCGGCGCTGGCCGAGCTGGACACCACCTGGGGGCTGGAGGAGATCGGGCGGCGAGAGCTATGCTCAAGGTCGGGCATGTCCCTCTGCAGGAGGAGGATTCAACAATAGTCCAACCACAGTCGGGGGGGATTTTTACTTCTTGCATTATTTTTTTGGCTGTGTATGATTTGTATTCCAGGATCCCTGTCTGGAAGGACGTGCCCGACCTAACACTGTGCACATGCTCAGACCCCTTTGCGTCGTGGGATAAGCACGATGCCCGTTGTTGCTGCTGTTGCTTGCTGTCTTCGGCCTCAGGGGGCCGTTGCAAGGGGACGCTCCGCAAGCAAAGCTGGTCCCGGGGGAATGGGTCGCCGCTGTGACCAACTCATACCCAGACATGCTACGTCCTGATTTTTGCAGGATGGCGTCCCCGCAAGTCCCGACCCTTTCGCTGGAACCAGTATTTCCTCCTGGGTTTTTTTTTGACGGTCCCGAGGCCCGGCGAGGGCCCCCCGCGGGGCCGAAAATGGCCAGGAACCTCCCGCCCGGATTGTTTTTTTACGACGCGAGCATGTCTGGGTATATGACCTCTGAGGCCCAGGCTTAGGTCGGCCCTACAGGGGGATTTTCAACGAAAACTTAAAAATACCCCCCAAAAATCCCAAAATGGTCAAAAAAGATTCCAAACATAGTCCCCAGACTTTTTTTGGACTACCTTTGGATTATTTTTTGGGGGGTATTTTATATTTTTCGTTGAAAATCCCCCTGCAGGGGGACACGGCCCGACCTCAGCCCAGGCGCCCCGGTCCTGGCCAGGCCCAGCTGGGGCCCTCAGGATCGGTGCGCCTGTCTCCCTCCCAGACCCCCGACGTCATGTTTTTTCCATGATGCGACCCTCAGAGGTCCGGACCCATTCCCCGGGACCGACTTTTCCTCCCGAGTCGTTTTGTTGACGGCCCCGAGGCCCGGTGGGGGCCCTCCGAGGCCGAAGATAGCGAAAGACCTCCCGTCGTGATTTTTTTGTTCATACCTCGAGGAGGTCTGGGGTCCTGGCCAGGCCCAGCTGGGGCCCTGGATCGGTGCGCGCGTGCCTCCCTGGCCGAGATCGGAGGGCACCAACTATATACACCAACACCGATCCTGGCCCAGGATCACCCTGGGCCCAGGATCGGTGTATATGCCTTCTTGCGCAAGGCAGGAGGGCGTATGCACCGATCCTGGGCCCAGGGTGATCCTGGCCAGGATCGGTGTTGGTGTATAGTTGGTGCCTCCCTGGCCGAGGGGCAGGGGCGCGCGCAGCGATCCTGCATCGGCCGAGGCGCGGGCCCCCGGCCGGGCTCGGCGCGCACACGCAGTCCCCGGAGCTCCGCCGCCGCGACGCATTCACCGCAGCGGGGGCCTGCAGGCCCAGGCGTGCTCGCGTCTTAGAAAAAAATCGGGGCGGGAGGTTTTTCAAAAACCTCCCGCCCCGATTTGAGCCGAGTTGGGCTCTTTTCGGCCCCGGGGGGCCCTCGCCGGGCCTCGGGGCCGTCAAAAAGCGACTCGGGACGAAGCGCCGGCCCCGGGGAAAGGGTCGGGGCTTGCAGGGACGCCGTCCTGACAAAGTCAGGGCGTCGCATGGCTGGGGAGGTCTGGGCACGCCTTCCCTGGGCGGGAGTCCGAGCGCCCGCGGGGAAAAGGAGCGTCCATCTCGTGACAGTTTCACGAATGATCTGCGAGGGGCCTTCGTAGTTTTTTTTGTTGTTGCGTTGGTTCCCCTCTCGCCCTCTCCCCAGACACCCGACGTCATGATTTTTTCATACAACGTCGACCCCCCAGAGGTCTCAACCCATTCCCCTGGGCCAGTTTCTCATCCTGAGTCGTTTTTTGACAGTCCCAATGCCCAGCGAGGGCCCCCAGAGGCCGAAAACGGCGGAAAACTTCCCGTCATGATTTTCCAATTGCTCGAGGGGATCTGGGTCTCCTCCGCCTCCGCCTCCGCCTCCGCCTCCGCCTCCTCCTCGTCTTCCTCCTCCTCGTCCTCCTCCTCCGCCTCCGCCTCCTCCGCCTCCGCCTCCGCCTCCGCCTCCGCCTCCTCCTCCTCCTCCTCCTCCTCCTCCTCCTCCGCCTCCCTCCTCCGCCCTCCGCCTCCTCCTCCTCCTCCTCCTCCTCCTCCTCCTCCTCCCCTCCTCCTCCTCCTCCTCCCCCTCCTCTCCCAGGAGATCCTGGCCGTGTGGCACCGCGTCCGCCACCTCGTGCGGGCGGGCGACGTCCTCGCCGGTGCCGGCGCGGCGGGCCCGCGCGTGGTGCCCTGCGGCCTGAAGGTCGTCTGCCGAGCGTTCGCGGCGCAGGAGCTGCGGCGCCGGCGCGCGCCGGTCGTCGGCATCGTCCAAGCCATCCCATCCATCGCATCGTCCAAGCCATGCCCAGACATGAGGATCGCGTCGTGAAAGAATAAGATCACCCTGACTCCGGATCCGCCCTACTTTGGGGAAATTCGTAAGTAGGGCTTGGAATTTCCGCTTTACTTTTCAAGCCCCGCTGATGCCAATTTCCGCCCTACTTTTCTGTTGCTGTTTGCGCCCTACTTCTGTGGGTTTCCGCCCTACTTTCTGCTGGGTGCAGGAATTTCCGCCCTACTTTTTCGGCCCCTTATAAGTGGATTTCCGACGCAATTTTAAGTCGGAAAATAAGCCAAAGTAGGGCGGATCTGGAGTCAGGGCATCCCATCCATCGCATCGTCCAAGCCATGCCCAGACATGATGATCGCGTCGTGAAAAAATAAGATCGGGGCGGGAGGTTTTTGGCCATTTTCGGCCCTCGCCGGGCCCTCGCCGGGCCTCTCGGGACCGTCGAGAAACGACGCAGGAGGAAGAACCGGTCCCGGGGAAGGGGTCGCCGGGGCTTCCAGGGACGCCGTCTTGAAAATATCAGGACTTCGGTCGCATGTCTGGGTCCCCACTTCGAAAAGGTACCGATCCGGCTACCCTTGCCCAGTGTTCGACTTTTCGGGCCCCCGGGAGGCCCTCGTCGCCACCGCCGGATTCACCTCGGAATTCTGGTCAGAACGCACCGCGTGCGGGGTCTGGAGAGTAATTGGCGGTCGTCGGCATCGTCGAACCCATCTCAGAGGGGGGCGAGTTGAGACAACGGTATGCAGTTGGCCTTTGGGGTGCCCCGTCGTCGTCGCGGCTGGGCGCTGCTCGGAAAACGGGCGCGTTGAGACCCAGGAGGGGTCGGGGACCGATTTTGAATTGTTGCCGCTGTCTCGACTCGCCCCCTGCTCTGAGGTCTACAGAGGCAGAAACTGTCCCAGCTCTGCGCGGCTTTTCCTAGGGCGGGCGTGTCCCTCTGCAGGCGTGTCCCCCTCCAGGGGGACCTTGGACGAATAATGAAAAAGTAGACAAAATATTCAAAAACATGTGCGCAAATGATATAACAAAAATCGTCCCCTGAGTATTTTTTGACTATTTTGGAATGTTCCTCCTGCAGGGGGACAGGCCCGACTTAAATTCTAGGAGCGGCGCCGGGCGCCCCGGGGGTCGCCTCCTGCGCCGGCCCTGGCGCGCTGCGCACGCAAGGGAGGGGTGTCCAGCGCCGGCCCAAAGCTAAAGAAGTCCGCGCGGACCTCCGAAAGTTAATGTTTATGCCCAACGTGTGCAGCTATTCATGTGTTTATTACTCGGGCTAGTTGGGGGAACTTGTATTATCAATTGTATCTTTACTTTGATTATTAGTATTAGTCCTATGCTTATTTCCTTATGCTTATTATTGTCACTAGTCTTTTTCTGCTTCGTAGCATTATCACTGTTGTTTGCATTGTTCTTCTTCCGATTCTTCTTCTTATCGCTAATATGATGATTATTCTCCTTCGAACTGGGCCATGGTATCTCAGCCCCACCTGCCCAACCTCCTGGGTGGAGGTGGAGGTCAGCCCCGCAATTGCCGAATGGAACAGGCACCTATGTTCTAGGGTCTGGCCACCCCCCCTCATGATGATGCCATCGGCCCGTCCCCCCCCGCGCGATGCCCCTCCCTGTGGGCCATGGGCGTGCGGTGGTGGGTATGGCGTTCGGCATCCCCCCCCCTGTGGGTGTGGTGGTGGTGGTGGTGGTGGTGGTGGTGGTGGTGGTGGTGGTGGTGGTGGTGGTGGTGGTGGTGGTGGTGGTGTGTGTGGTGTGGTGGTGGTGGTGGTGGTCGGGCTCTCCTGAGTAGGAGGAGGAGGGGGAGGAGGAGGAGGAGGAGGAGGAGGAGGAGGAGGGGGAGGAGGAGGAGGAGGTGGAGGAGGAAGAGGAAGATGAGGAGGAGGAAGAGGAGGAGGAGGCGGACGACGACATCAGCGTCGGCATCGGCATTGGCACATGCTCACATGCATCGCCGTCCTAGACATGACGTGACACTGTAATATTTGACGGAGGGGAGGCGCCACGATGTAATCGTGCATGACAGCCGTAATCAGTTTGGGCTGGCCATTTCCGACGGTGTTGCGGTGCTTCGGGGAGCCGGAGTCGACGGTGTCGTCGTCGTCGTCGTCGTCGTCGTCGTCGTCGTCGTCGTCGTCGTCGGCGTCGGCGTCGGCGTCGGCGTCGGCGTCGGCGTCGGCGTCGGCGTCGGCGTCGGCGTCGGCGTCGCGTTGTCCGTCGGCGTCGGCGTCGGCGTCGGCGTCGGCGTCGGCGTCGGCGTCGGCGTCGTCGGCGTCGGCGTCGGCGTCGGCGTCGGCGTCGGCGTCGGCGTCGGCGTCGGCGTCGGCGTCGGCGTCGGCGCCGACGCCGACGCCGGCGTCGTCGTCGTCGTCGTCGTCGTCGTCGTCGTCGTCGTCGTCCCCCCTTCCATCCCATCTGGGGGGGGAGGGGCCCAGGGGACCCTGAGACCCACCCCGCTTGGGATGGGGGGCCGTGGACCTGGAGCCCAGGATCACAGACCCCCGCCTGCGTACGGACAGTGGGGCCAAGACCCCTCCAGTTGGGAACAGGGATCGGTTGAAGCCTGCTGAGGTCGGGGACATCCTCGGCTTCGACATGGGCAAGTTCAACGAGCACGCGCCGATGTGGCGCGCGCACGGTGTGAAGAGGAGCTCGCTGATGGGGTGCCTCCCAGCCTGGCTGTCGCCCAGGCTCGAGTGCGCGGTGCGGTGGCCGTGCGGGGGCGACGAGGACTCAAGAGAAGTAACCAGCTGCATGAAAGTGCGGCCCCCAGGCATGCGGCGTCCTGCTTTTTCCAGGACGGCGTCCCCGCCAAGTCCCGGCCCCTTCCCCGGGGCCAGTCTTTCGTCCCGAGGCCCTTCTTGACGGCCCCGGGGCCCGGCGAGGGCCTCCAGAGGCCGAAGCTGGCCAAAGACCTCCCGCCCAGATTTTTTACGACGCGGTCATGTCTGGGCCAGGAGCTTTGGCTTCACTGGCTCGTCGCGCCGCTGGCTCTGGCGCACCCGCGCCGCCGCGCGACGCGCTGACCTCAAGTCGGGCCCGTCGCTCTACAGGAGGAATACCCAAAAACAGTTTGAACATAGTCCGGGGGCGATTTCTTTATTTTTAGTCTGACATCTTGTGAGTATTTTTTGAGATTTTTGCTGGTTTGGAGTTTTTTGTATGTTTTTTTTTTGAGTATTTGTTCGAGATCTGTAATTTTTGTCAATCTTTTGAGTATTGTTTAAAAAATTCTTGGGAGATTTTTAATTTTTCGTCGAAAAATCCCCCTGTAGGGGGACACGCCCGACTTCACGCGGACCGCGCCCCGATGCACGGGCGTCGAGATCCCGAGCCGCTGCCCGCCCCCGCGGCGCGAGAGGAGCGGAGGCGCGCTATATCTCGGCTCGCGGGGCCCGGCGCGTCGCCGGGGCCGCCGCCAGGACACCCTGACTCCGGATCCGCCCTTTTTTGGCTTTTTTTTTCGAACTTACAATTGCGTCGGAAATCCACCTACAAGAAGCCGAACAAGTAGGGCGGAAATTTCTGCACCCAAAACACAAAAGAGGGCGGAAGTCCACAGAAGTAGGGCGGAAACAGCAACAGAAAAGTAGGGCGGAAATCGGCAACAGCGGGGCTTGAAAAGTAAGGCGGGAATTCCAAGCCCTACTTACGAATATCACCAAAGTAGGGCGGATCCGGAGTCAGGACACGCCGAGCCAGAGTGCCGGGCCGCCAGCTTGATAAGGAGGTCCGCGTGCCCAGACGCGCTCGCGGCGTAACAAAATGCAGGACGGAGGTTTTTCGTCGTTTTCGGCGCGACGAGCCAGCGAAGCCAAGGCTCCCGGCCCAGAGATGACCGCGTCGTAAGAAAATCAGGGCGGGAGGTTTTTGGCCATCTTCGGCCTCCCCTGACTCCGGATCCGCCCTACTTTGGGGAAATTCGTAAGTTGGGCTTGGAATTTCCGCCGTAACTACTTTTCAGGCCCCGCTGATGCCAATCTCCGCCCCACTTTTCTGCTGCTGTTTCTCCGCCCTACTTCTGCGGATTTCCGCCCTATTTGATGTTGGGTGCAGAAATTTCCGCCCTACTTTTTCGGCTTCTTGTAGGTGGATTTCCAACGTAATTTCAAGGTGGAAAAACAGCCAAAGTAGGGCGGATCTGGACTCAGGGGAGGTCTGCGTGCCCAGACATGCTCGCGGCGTAACAAATGCAGGACGGAGGTTGTTCGTCGTTTTCGGCCTCTGGAGGCCCTCACCGGGCCCCGGGGCCGTCAAAAAACGACTCGGGATGAAAAACCAGTCCCGGGGAAGGGGCCGGGATTTCCAGGGACGCCTTCCTGAAAAAATCAAGATGTCGCATGTTTGCGTGGGTTGGGTTTCTGGGATCGGCGCTGCATCTTCCCGGCGGCGCAGCGCCGCCCCTGGCGTGCTCCGCGCGCCAGGGATATAGGGGCGCCAGCGCCGATCGGAGCAGTCCGCGCGGACCTTCGCCAGTTTTTGCGTTTGCAGCATGTCATGAGGAGAAAGACACACAGACACACATGATCGTCGATTCCTGGGAAAATATGGGAAACCATCAGGAGTGGAGGGGAAGGCGAGCATCCATAACATCTGGAAAAAGATGGGGAATCTTGGGATCTGTGTGTATTTATGTGTGTGTGTGTCCCTGGGCGTCTTCTTCTTCTTCTTCTGTTTCTTCTTCGTCTTCTTACTATTCTGCTTGTTGTTATTATTTGTTGTGTCGTCTTCTTCTCCTTTAGAGGAGCTGGGGCCACCGGGCGAGTCTCTTGCGCTGGCCCTGGAGGGCGCGGCCTCCGGCGAGGGCCGGTGCGACGGCGTCCGAGGGACGAAACGCGCTGACCACGACCAAGCTGACGCCATCGTGGGGCCACCTTGGAGGATGGTAGCTCTCTGGCCTGGGCTGCGCCGTGCGAAGCGCGATTATCTTCACGCCCTTGGGGGCGAACGAATCGCCGAAAGCCGTTGAGAGCGTTCTCCCGGCTAAGGTTTGCCTCCGGTGCTCAACGATCGAGGATCGAGGACCGGTCTTGTCGGCGAAGAGCTCGGCCATGGTCCATGTTGGCCGCCGCCGATGCACGAGGATGATCCACGAGTCGACAGTGGCCCAAGAGCGACGGCGACCAAGACCAGCACTGGCATTTCCGCGTTCCGTCCTGATTCTAGGTCGCTGCCGCCATTTCCTTCAAGGGGTCGGAAAACCCACCCGGACCGGACAATTGGCGTTGACTAAACGGCCTTCGGCGTTTATTACACAGCCCTGCCCTGTTTGATTCCTTCTTTGGGTGCGTTTTCTGAATGGCTTCGCGTGTCGGGGTGGTCGTTATCGGGGTGGATATTCTGCCCTCTATTCTTATGCCGGGCCTGTCCCTTTACATGAGGAGTATTCAAACATAGTTTAAAAAATAGTCTGGGGACGATTTTTTTACGACTTTTGAATATTGAGTTGTATGTTTAAAACGATGTATTGATTTGTCGTCCAGAATCGGCCTGTATGGAGGACAGGCCCGACTTCACACTCCAGTCCTGCCTCCCCAGGCGTCGTCTTCTGGGCGGAGGACCACTGCGAGCTGGACCCGCTGCTGCTGCCCGCGGTAGGCCTCTTCACCCCCGAGCACGCCCCAGAGGTGTGGCCCGGCGCCGCCGTGCGGGTGCGCGTCGCGGAGGGCGGCGGGCCCGGCGCGGGTGCGCAGCCGTCGTGCACGCTGTGGCTCGAGGAAGAGCGCGTCCTCCTCCTCCTCCTCATCCTGCCTCCTCCTGCTCGTCCTCCTCCTCCTTCCTCCTCCTCCTCCCTCCTCCTCCTCCTCTCCTCTCCTCCTCCTCCTCCTCCTCCTCCTCCTCCTCCTCCTCTCCTCCTCCTCCTCCTCCTCCTCCTCCCCCTCCCCCGCCTCCTCCTCCTCCTCCTCCGTAGCCATTTTGGCTCAAGCCATTTTGGCTCAAGCCGTTCTGGCCCAGGTTTTGGGCTTGCTACAGCAGACTTCAGAACGGCACATTGCTGTAGCGGGTCATTGGCTCGTTTTAGTGTGCATCACGATTCCTCTCTTTCAGAGAAACTGGGAGCCATGTCCAATCCTGCCGCTCAGCGCCAGCTGCGCGAGAGCGACGGGTGGCCATGGCAGCGGCCACAAGGAGGATGGCGCCAAGGTGGTGGGCGTTCTACGGCCGCCAACTGGACGTGCCCCGCGTGTGGCTGTCGCAAGAACAAGCAGAACTGGGGCCAGTGCAAGCAATGCTGGGGATACCGCCCGATGCCAAAGTTCGACTATGGTTCGGCGCCGCTCGCGGGGGTCTGGGCCCCACAGCCGAGTGGCACATCGGGCCCGCCTGGTCATTTCATGGGTCATGGGCAAGGGCGCGGTGGCGGCCTTGCTCTGCGTCCTGGGCCTCAGTTTATGCATGATGGCAAGCCCTCTGGCGGCCCTCCGCCCCCAGTGCAGCCCCCCGATGAGGCGAAGTGCAAGCTTCTGGTCGAGACCCTCACCTCTGTCGGGGACCTCCAAGGGGCGGCTGTTTGGCGCAAGGAGCTCGAGCGTGTGCAGGCCAGCCATGCAGTCAAACCCCCAGCGCCTCTGGAGCAGCAGGTCAACCGCGCCTTCCACGACCTACGGGCTGCCGAGGGTCGACTCAACAAGGCGCTGGGGATCTACGAACGCATGCAGGCGGATGTGGTCGAGCAGCGCGAGCGGGTGGCCGCACTCACAGCTGAGTTGGAGACAGCCTCCCAGCTCCACAAGGACCTTGTCAAGAAGCTCAACTCCAAGGTTGCTGACCCTGTGCCCGAGCCCATCACTTCCTTCAGCATCGACGACATTCTCGCGGGCAAGGAGCTTCCTATCTCGTTGGGCAGTCTACTCGAGGTCGAAGAGGATTACGAATTGGGCGAAGAAGATAAGCGTCTGGCTGAGGAGCGGCTGGCGGCCCTGCAGAGTGGCATCAAGGATGCAGTTCAGAATCTCTTCGGGCAGGCGGCCGCTTCGGCCAAGGCTTTCAAGGAGGCGCAGGCTGAGCAGCTCAAGCGTATCCGCAAGAAGCGCAAGGTTGACAAGGAAGAAGCTGGTAATGGCAGTGCAGGTGGTGAAGCTGTACCTGAATCAGGAGGCGGCGGCCCTGGTCAAGGCGCGGGAGAGGCTCAAGCTGACGAGGGTCCCCCTGTGGGAGAACCAGTTGCTGCTGCTGCTCCTGCGGGCCGTCCTGCATCTGCCGATTCGTGTTCAGACGGCGATGTGCTGTCACGTGCCAAGAAGGTGCTCCAGGCTTCCCCCCCTTCGAGCGCCGCCGCTTGAAGGGGGGTATCTTCTTCCATCGTGTACCAGTACCAGTGCATCAACATCGGCGACAGGGGCTTCTTCTACGGCCGCTGCCTCCACGCTAGGTTGCCACTCTCGCGCCACGGAGACTCCAGCATCCTGGGGGCCCGTCTGCGCAGAGGTGGGAGGCAACAGTGCGCGGAGAGTAGCGGCACATCTTCCTGGTCTTCCATCTGAGGGCTGCCCTTCTGTCGCCAATAAATTTTTTGCTTGCCGGCACACTGTCAGTGCTGGCGGTCTCTCAGGGTTCGCGGGTCGGCCCGCTGACTCGCTCTCGCACCCTCGGTCCCTGGGCGCATTCCTGGGGAACGCCGAAGGGTGGTCGCCACAATTTGCCGACGTGCGGCTCTATCACACTTGCCTCTGGAGCAGCTCGATCAGCGAGCAAGTTTTTGCGCAGTCGCCTGCGTGGATCTCCCAGGCTGACGCCCCCTCCGCTGATCACGAGTATGCCCCCGCTCCTCGCAGGATGTCTCCCACGAGGTCTTTAGGCAAGGCGGTGGATTTCACTTTGATGAGGGCCAAGGGGGTCCTCCAGGGTGCTGTCCGCCAGCCCAGTCTCATGACTTTTCGGGGCCCCCCTGTTGCGGGGGGGGCCCCCGCCCCTCCTCTCCGGCTCTCCTTCTCCTCTGCCTCCTGAGTCCTTCCCCACGGACTCATTTGTCCCACGCATAGAGACCTGTAATGTTTCGGGGTGGGGGTCTGGGCAGCTCTGGTTAGAGAAGACAGACGCCGACGTCGTCCTGATGCAGGAGCACAAACAGCTGCCTCACATGGTGGCAAGCGGTTCGTCGTGGGCGATTCGCCACGGCTGGAAGTCATTGTGGGTGCCTGCGGGTCTCGGCCAAGGAGAAGGCCCCAGCGCAGGAGTTGCTATTTTTGTCCGAGCGGCACTCGGACTTCGAGAGCCTGACTCTGGCCACGAGGTCGTCGCGGGGCGTGTCATCGCTGGCTTGGTCGAGCTTCCTGGGAACGCGACCTTCCTGGCCATCTCGGCGTACTTCCACGATTGCGAGGACCTTTCGGACCGAAACGTGTCTATTCTGTCGTCCTCGGTTTCCCTGGGTCGGGCCCTGGGGTTTCCTTTCTGCTTGGGGGCGGATTTTAACATGGAGCCTACTGTGCTTCTTGACGGCTTGGGGGATCGCAGGGACCTGGAGGTTTTGGTGCCCGAGGGGCACACGTGCAAGTCCACTGCTGGCCTCAAACAGTTTGATTTTTTCGTTTTTTCTTCTGACCTGGCCAAAGGGGTGGCGTCTGTTAAAGTGGTTCGTGAGACCAATCTCACGCCCCATTTCCCTGTGGCCGTGATGCTCCACCCGTCAGTTGGCAAGCTTAAGTCTCTCGCCTTTCGGCGACCGCCGCCCTTGCCCACGGTTCCTGTGGCCCCTGGCTCGGTCGTTGCTTCCGTGGCCCCCTCCCCCTGGGTCCTCGACGTGCTGGACTCGGCTCGGAATGCTGTTCGCCACGCTGATTTCGAGCGGGCCCAGGAAGCTCTCGACCTCAGCTACAAGGAATGGGCTAAGGTGGCTGAGCGCGAAGTGGCTGCTGCTACTGGAGTCACTTTGCCTGTTTGGGGGGCTCGGTCTAAGGAACCCACCATGTATTGGAAGCCCATCTTGAACAAGGGTGGTGAATGTAGTAACGAGCACCTCTTCTCTTGCAGGTGGCTGGCGAATATTTTCAACACTGTGCACGGGCACTGGAGTGAGCTCAATCAGGCGGGGCTGCGGGAAGTGCTGGACAGGGTGTTAGATCCCCCTCCCAAGGTGTTGTCTAACCTTGGGAATCTTTCTCGCTACTTGGAGTCCCTGTGCCACTTCGTGCTGGAGTTGCCCATGTATGAGCTACCTGAAGGGCCTCTTTTCGAACTGTTTGAACACATGCAGGTGTGTTTCACGGAAGACCTCCGAGCTGCGGAGGCTAAGTCGCGCAAGGATTCTCATCGCGAGTTTCGTGATTGGCTGCTGTACAGGGCCAACAGGGGAGCTAAGCGAGTTCACACTGTGTCGAAAGGGGCCCACCCCTGGGTCCCCACCACCACCCTCTCCTTGGAGGGGGTGGTGGTGGCCGACCCGTTGTCCCTCTTGAAGGCGGAGTCACGCAAATTCAGTAAGTTGTGGGGGTGCCAGCGAGAGAATCCTTGGTTTGAGTTGGGTGAGATCTGCGACGGTCTGCCCCCTGTTCCCATTGAGGCTGTCAGGGAGTTTTCCAGGAAGTTTCGGGAAAACACTAGCGTGTCTGTTGACGGTTTTCACGTGCGCCATTTCCATATGATGAGCGATGCCACGCTCACTTCGCTCGTTTCGATGTTTAATGTCATGGAAATGGCCGCTCTTGTCCCGTCCCAAATCTCTGTGATCCGTCTGGCGCTCATCCCCAAGGCCACGGCTGGATTCCGCCCGATCGGGAACTTTTGTGCCCTGTACCGCGCGTATGGGAAAGTCAGGAGGCCCCTGGCCCAACGTTGGGAGTTTCAAAATGCTCGCGAGTATTTTGCCGCAGGGCCCTTCGAGGGGGCCTTGGACGTGGTTTGGAGGCAATCGGTGAGGTCCGAGGCCTCCACCAGCGCGGGGGGCGAGGCCGCCACCGTGCTTCTTGACTTGTATAAGTACTACGAGACCATCGATTTGAATAAACTGTTGTTCAGATGTCGGCAGGTTGGTTTCCCTATGGGGGTGGCTCGCCTTGCGGTGAGCATGTACCTTCAGCCTCGGTTCTTCGGGCTCTCGGGCTTTGTGGACGGGCCCTACTGGGCCCGTCGTGGGGTCGTTGCTGGCTGTCCCTTCGCGACGACACTGATCCGAGTTTATTCTATCCAGGCGCTTGATCTGGTCTCGTTGCCGTCGC